TGTAGTCACAAGGAGAACAATGTAGGGTACTGATATTTTCAAGATATGACATTTTCATGTTTGTTTTTATTTTTCTCTTTATATTTTTTCTGACTTTAATGAAACAGTTTTCTCTTTATGAGAGACTAGAGGAAATTTAATCTCCACAAATTAAGAAAAAATAACCAAAACATAGAAAAGCATTTGGTAAAATTAGTTCGATGAATCATACTTTGCATTATGACTTGACATTTCTTTTTTTCTTAAGACAGATTTGATGTACCCCAGGAGAGTTCTCTAAGCTTCCATAGCTCTTGTTGGAGGTGAATGGTGTTTCATTAATTTCCTGTGAAATCTTCTTATGTGACAGTATAATTATAATATTATACAGCTTAGCTAGATGGCTTTAAATGATCTGCCAGCACAACCCCAGAAATGAAGGGTCATGCAGGGTACAAGAAGTCTTCAAGATTCCATTTTGAAAACTAAGTACTCTTGGCAAGGGACAAAACTGGTAATGTGTTTCTATATTTGAGGTGACTCCCAATGCTCCCAAGGTAACTTACAGCCCAATGTGATGGCTCTAATTCTTTGAAATGCCAATCAATTCCATTTACACTTCTTTTTGCTTTGAGTAAGAACCTAGGAAAATGCACTGATCAAGGTGGCACACATAGGAAAGATGAAGTGCTTATTGCTTTGGAGTGAGTTGGGAAGAACATGATTCTGGATATTAGAAATTCACTCAGAATAATGTAAGGGACCTTGGGCAGGTGGGCAAAACTTTTGTGCAGTGAAAAGCAACTTTGATTAGTTCATCAGTGAGAGCACATTGATATTCAGTACCTTCCATGAGGGTTTAATTGAGTTTTTCAGTTTTGCCCATTAATATCCATCAATTTCCTAGAAGATTTGACCTCCTATTACTTTTAATGGAGGTTATAGGTAAAGAGGAACCACAACATTAGAGGTAATCTCAGAGCAGTGAGAAATATAATTTCTTATTTTTTGATATTTGTAGATCTCTACTCTGTAACACAGAGTTCAATTCCCCCCCCCCGCATAGTGGTGGGAAGGAAAATTCAATCAAGAAAGCACAGAAATGGAAAACCATAACTTAGACTTTGTCATTTCTAGCTTGGTACTATTTATTTAATTATTTTTCTCCTCCAGAATGCTGAGACAGCCAGTAAGTTGAGCAGGGAAACAAAATTCAAATCAATTATACAGCATTATAAAGAGATTATATAGTGCATGGTTTTAAATTTTTAGTTGATGATCTTAAGGAAATAATCAAAGTGTCCTTGGGCTGGGGATTTAACGCAGTGGTTCTGCTGCCTGCCTCATAAACACAAAGTCCGGAGTTCAATCCCTGGTATCAAAGTGTCCTTGTAGCATACTGTAGTGAAAACAGGCTGAACTGGGGGTTTATGTATTGTGTGCTTATGAATAATTGCTTTGGAGTATTTGGACATAAATTTAATCATTTATAAAATGCAGATGGACTGTATGGCCGTATAAAGTAACTCCAAGTCTTGACATTTATTGATCCCTTTGTTTACACATGTACTACCCAGTAATTACAGTGCTGTGCTAGGCTAAGAGACTGGTGAACATATTTTCTTCTTTCAGTTTATAAATTATTTTCTTAAATAGCACTTTTTGAGATGAATTTCCAGAGAAAGTAAGAAATTTAAGAGCTTTCAAAAACCTTGCATTCAATCTTGTGTGCATTGGTGTATTCAAAACTAATGAAATGTTTAATCATCACATGCTGCTGCGGTCAGATGATGAGTCCTGGGAGATTTCTTTCTAAGTTCTTTGTGTCCTGAACAAATAATTACACAAGACACACAGAAAAGGTAATGAGGACGTACATTTATTGAAGGTACAAAATAAGTATGTGCAGAGTGAGAGAGAGCAGGCCAGGGAACAGACTCACAACTGCTGGGACGATCTGAAAATGGTCTAGGACTCCTGGATTGCCATTCTCGTCATGCAGCTAAGGCCCTGGGACAATTTTCCTGTCAGAAATTCCCTAGGCCTAGAACTGGACATAAATTGACCTATTGAAAGACTTGCTTGTATGTGAACCAAATGTAAATCAAAGATTAACGATAAACCTTTTCTGTTTGGTTCTCTGTATAGGGCTCAGGAGCTGCAGTCACCCTAGACCCTGTTCTGTGCATGAGCCCTGTGTCTCCATGACTTTGAGAGATTCTGTTCATTTGGTTTCAACTGGTTTTGCTCCAGCCCTAAGATCCTACTTCACTACTATGAATTAAGGATTTATGATAAAAAAATATCCCTGAACAGCTTTTAATCTTGGAGAATAGAATGTTGTAGGGATGCAACTTAAAAAATGTGTTTTTATGCACGGAACAGCAAGCAGGCATACTCTAGTATATTATAGGAGATTACCAATCTCAAAATATTAAGTTCTTTCAGAAACAGAATTTTCTGGACTGCCATCAGGCAAACTGTGGCACAGTGCCCGCATTAGTACTTTAAAAAGTGAACACATTTACTTTTGAATAAAATTCAAGCATAAAACAAAGTTATTAAAGAAATATGAACTTTATGTTGTATTTGGAGGAAATGGTAGCATATTTTTTGGTGGTTTACTTTTCTAATTTGTCATAATCAGATGAAGTTAACATTGAACAATTACCTAGATAATTGTGGAAAGTAGAGCTGCTAAGTGTATGAAGTAGACTTTATTGGTTTTTTTTGTTTGTTTGTTTTTTGTTTTTAGACAGGGTCTTGCTATGTAGTTGAGACTGACCTGGAATTCACTATGTTGCCCATTCTGGTCTCAAATTTATAGTGATCCTCTTGCCTCAGCCTCCCGAGTGCTGGGATTACAGGTGTGCGCCACCACGTCCGGCCTGAACTAGACTTCAGAATGCATTTGAATTTAAAAGAAGAGATTTATTTATGTCAGTCACATTTAGTTCACTCTAAATGCTTTCTGAAGCAAATTCAATAAATACAATAAATAACTAAAAAAAAGAAAGAAGGCAGGGAAGAAGACCAGTTAATGATGAGCAATAAACAGTTTCAACTTTTCCTTGTTTCATTTTGTCAGGAAGGAAAGGATGAATTTTCAATTTAGAGTCATAATAAGAAGGGATTGGTGTGCATATTGTGGCAAAAGTGTTAGTATTAGAAAAATAAAACAATATTGAATTCCCAGAGTAATACTGTGATTAAAAATATGGCCTATTTGAAAAATGATTCAGTTATTGAAATTATAATACTGTACATATGGTATGAATATAGTTATACAAGTTATATATGATTCCTGGGTGGCAAGTGGTCTATACTAGTTGATTTAGTCCCTGTCAAATTCATTGTTAAATATTTTCAATATTATTAATGAGAATTGTAGTAATATGCGAAAGTACTTGGGATGTAAGGTTATGTTGACAGATGAACTCAAAGTTAATATACAGGTTGACTTACATTTTCAAAAGCTTAATTAATATTTGAAAATAGAATATTTAAAATATTAGAGTAAAAACTGACATTACCAAGTCAAATATATGTTCACTTAATCAAAATCTTTGTAAATAGGGAAGCGTGGAGGGGGTGAAGGGAGACAAGGTAAATGGGGAAAAAATAAGAACCAAGATACATCATGTAAGTGTACGAGATCCCAATGATAAATGCAACCATATTGTATACCTAAAATGTACCAATAAAATATATAAAAAATAATTGACTAAAATTGGAAATCATAAAAATGAATGCATATAGAGATTAAGTATTTTAAAACACACATTTATAATCGTTTATCAGTCTTTGCTGATAAAGTAATAGCTTTCTACAAATCTTGGTCTTATAATTGAGAAGTCAAGTTATCTTCTTAAAGGCCCTATATAAGTAACTATAGGTTATTTATTACTGTCTTTTGGTTATTTGTCAGTATGTTAGAACAAATGTGATAGAATATTTTGCCTTCTTTCGTGGCACCAAGGATGGGATGTACAGCTTTGTGCATAGGCAAGCACTTTCCACTGAGTCGCAGCCCAGCCTGGTTTCCTTTAAAGAGGAGAAAGAATGTCAAACACTCCCAAAGAAAGTTTGTTGTAGAATCCTTCTATTTTTGTGATTGTTTTTCTCCAAGCCATTTGGAGACAACTTACCAAATTTAACAGAAGCTTTTAGTATCTTATATTTATTAAGTGTTCCCCTAGGGTTTAGTTTAAATTTTATAGACATAGCCTCCTTTCATGTTTATAGTTTATAAGTTTATATACTGGTTCATTTTATGATTAGGTAATTAAATCACTTGATTAATTATTATGTATTATAAGCACAATCACAACTGGTGTCATCAGGTTCAGTAGTAATGGAATAATTTTTTGTTAGTGTGTCCTAAAGCATTTGTAACTAATTAAAATATGCAGCCTATTTATCCAAATACTATTAATTGCTTGTAATAAAGTCCAAAATTTTGAAAACCAACAAATTGCAAACTAGCCGGGTACTATTGAAAAATTAGTCTTTTCTTGTCATTTAGAAGTCTAGGGAACCCCACTGAAATAGATACAACAGAGTCTGAATGATTTTTTTTTCAGCTTTAATTGAGTTTATTGGTCCATTTTAGGGATACAGTACAGTTACATTCATTGTTGGGCTGGATGATTATTTTTTATAAAGCAGTAGCAACACAGTCAGATATGGCTTTATGAAAATAAGCATTCTGAGCCATTGGGGACAGAAAATGTTCAAAGATTTGATAATGAGGCAGGAATTAAAGGGAAAATTAATGTTCTCTACTAAAATAAGCATTTTTTAATCCTGAGGATTCTAAAACAATACAAAAAATACTAGAAATACTATTTAATCAATACACAAAGAAGGAGATATTCATGATTTCTATGATACTTAAGATAGATCTCAGTGCCAAATAGAATATTCAAATATTTTTTGTTAATAGTTTCCCTTCACATAGAAATCCGTAAATGCTTTCAGCCTGAACTGTTTTGTAAATAAAAATTTTCTAATTTGCCTACGTGAATTACATCCTCCAATTCAACAACATATAGTTGCTCACAGTGAGGACATGGGGAAGGAAAGGGAAAGGGAGAGATTATTGTCTCTCTGCAAAACAAAACAGAAAAATCCCCCAAATATAACAAAGAATACAGAAGGGAAAGTCGGAATAAAATGGATATTGTTTGAAGAAGAGATTGGCGGTAGGGCAGCATAAGCATAACAGCAGCTAAGTGTCACATCAGCAGATTATCATTTAAATTCAGTGTCAGTACAGGGGACTATAGAAGAGGCTTTTAGTAGGAGGACAGCGGTGCTCCGGTCAGATCCTGACAGAGAAGGTGCTGTAGTTCGGACATGTCTGAGTGTGTTCCCCAAAGCGTTCATGTGCTAAAAGCAGGTTCTCCAGTATGAGAAGTAGTGGGGATCAAAAGAGGTCCAGGTGAAGGAGGTCAGGTTATTGGGGCATTCCTTTTGGAATAGTTTAATGCTAGTTTCATTAAGCCTCTGTTCTTGAAAGAATGAGTTGTTATAAAAAAGCCAGATCCCCCAGTGTCTTGAGTTCCCTTTCTCACAAGGTGATCACTTCCTGTCGCAAGTGTTTCTGCTATGGTTCTCTCTGCCATGTAGTTTTTTGTTTGTTTGTTTGTTTTTTGTTTTGTACTCAGGTTTAATCCCTCAGGTGCTTCAAACTGACCTACAGAGTGACCCTTTTTATTTGTTATTCTAATACTGGAAAATTGTGTTCAGTGTTACATTTTTGTTGACTTTGTTCTTATTTCCCTTTCTCTTCTTTTTTTTTTTTTATGAAATTGGAGAATATTGTGCTTGAAAATTCTCAGCTGTCTTTATTTCTGGAGGCTGACTGAGTCATATTTCTTTGGTTATATCAATGTGTTCTGGGAAAAAAATGTAGCAGGGATTTCTTTGGGATGCAGAGGCTGGTGTTGCCCATAGCCTTTGTACTTTGAAGATATGCGATCACCCAGGAAAATGTGAACAAATTTCCAGGGTAAAAGGTGATTTCCTAGGAAGAAAAGAATTAAGATACTTTACCTTTCATTTTAAAGGAATTTTAAGGTGTAACATGTTTATGATAAAATCCTCATTTTGAAGTGGGAATTCTGAACCGTTCACTTTTAATGTTTATGGCATCTCTAACACACTGGTATAGGCTTTCTTAAGGCCTTCAAGCATGAAAAGAGACCATGGGTCCCTGATGGGAAACTCACTATAAGGAGAGGAGGACATTAATCTCCTGGTGTCAGTGGACAAGATCCACATCTGGGCTGTTTAGAGGAATATTTACATTCAGTTTGGGCAAAGGGAGAAGGTGGAACTTGAAACTGCAAGTGTTTTAAGTGTTCTTTGGAGAAAGGTGTGAAATCTATTAATGCATACATATTTTAGATTTTTTATATGATAAAAAGCTGTAACTTTACAAAGTTTCCTTATGAGGAGAGAGTGAGTGAAGTGACTTTTTTCTTCTCATTCACAGCAGTGATAGGCATCAATTGCAATAGCAATTGGAGATTTCCAAGGTACTGGAAAGGTTTTCAGTGTTTCATCCTGAAGACATTTATACCTAGGACTAGCCCCTTGTACTGAATTACTGTGAGGAAATATGGGCCATTCTGGTTAAGAATGGGAAAATAAGACAAGGATAGGAGAAAAATTTTGATTGTATATCAGAGGACTATATTTATATTGACATAAATATCAGAGTAGACATGACCTTATTTCGAATCCTGAGATGATAAAAAGGAACACACATACACATATAACACTCCCACCCACACATATAAGTATATTGATATATAAAATTATGATTTTATTATTATTAATATTAAAATCTAGAGCACAAATCTAGATGTTACTGAGTATGCACAAAATTAACTAACCACAATGTTTATTATGTAACAGATGAAATAGACATATTTTGCACATGACTGATCATTATTTAGGCTGAAATTATTCATTTGGCTTGTGGAAAGTGCACTGTACTCTTACAAATAAAAATAGCTGAAGAGGAATTCTCACCAGGCAGTGGGATTGCCGTAGTACTATTGTTTAGATAGTGAATGCTCTTCAAAGGCAGATGTGTGAAAGGCTGGACGTGTGAAAGGCTTGGTTGTTGGGTGCTGCTACTTGGTTTTCAGGTTATAACCATTGAGAGATGGAACCTATGTCATTAATGACCTTAGGCCATTAAGGATATTGCTCCAAACAGGACCTTGGGGTCTTAGCCTCCTTTCCTTCCTCTTCGGTCCTTCTTAGCCACGATGTGAACAGTTTTACTCTGCCATGTGCTCCCATCGTATGAACCAAAATAACCCTTTTGTCTTTAAAAGTTTATTATTTCAGGTATTTTATAATGGTGACTGAAAGCTAACTAATATAGGTAGAAAAGAAAGCACAGAAATTACCTGGGAGAAGAGTGAAAAGTTGAATGTATCTGGTACATGTGTGAATTCATCAGAGGTTAAGGCTGACTGAAAGTGTCAGATGCAGACCTTAGAGGTTGTCAGCATCTTGGGCTTTCATTAGGAGTAATGGTTTATAATGTGGGAGTGCATGACCTAAGCTGTACCTTAGGAGAATTATTCTGTTAGTCAGTGTGCGCAAGGTTGAAGAAAGAGGGCAAGGCAAAGAGTGGCCTACAGCAGTTTTAGTGTCTCTAGTTCACCATTGCTCGGTTCTCATGTCTCCTACTATTTAAAAACTAGCCCTCAAAATGCATGTCTTTCAGATATGAAAGTAATAATATGGGCTGGGCAGTGTTTGTGGTAGAGCTTTATGGTGTGGAATCCAATGACCTTGTTTAAATGTTAATAGAAATGCAGCAGATGCTGCTGTAGAGTGTGGTTTCTTAGTTCTCAGCTATCATTTCAAGCTTGAGGATAAGAGTGGATAATTTGATTTTCAGATCCCCTAACAAAGTAAATTGCTATCAAGAAATTAAATGAAGATCTAAAAGCAGCCACCTAATTATTTTATTTGGCAGCCTAAATACAGAATATGCCTTGTTTAACTTAAAATATCTAATTCATTTAATACAAAGCCCATTGCGAAGAAAGGTAAGAAAACAGAAGACCTAGGAGAAGATTAAGATTGCAAGTACTATGCTAAGATCAGATATTTAAATATGGCAGTATTTTCAAATGAAGATGGAGATTTTAATACCACAATAATAGTTTTCTTGTTCATTTGAGTTTAAATATTCTCATAGATAGGAATTACTTTAATATCCCTTTGGATTTCCAGAACTAAACACAGGCAGATTAGAAAGGTTAATTTTCAACTGCTTTATTGTAGAATCTAAAGTCCTTCCTCCTAGTTTTCTGGGGGTTACTGGGGGAATCATTTTCCTGTAAATTCACCAAAGTCATTGTCCAGACAGGGTCTCCAGACCCTTTTTCCAGTCATTATATTGTACAATAGTTCAAATACCTATGGAAATAAAGTATTTCCTATTGCTAAAATTATAGCTACAGATGACCAGTAATTATCCTCAAGGTATGGAATACAGCTAAAATCCTAATTCACTATTTCCAATGACATTCCATTTGAGTGTGTGTGGGTGTGTTTGTATATTGTTAAATACAGAAAGTACTTTACTAGTTCAAGAATTTAGATTTAAAAGCTTTCTAGTGATGTTGGGTGTGGTGGTACACACCTGTAATCCCAGTACTCAGGAAGCAGAGGCAGGAGGGGATCACCGTGAGTTCTAGGCCAGCCTGGGCTACACAGTGAGTTCAGGGCCAGCCTGAACTAAAAAGGGAGACCCTACCACGAAAAACCAAAAAAGAAAAAGAAATAAGCTTTCAAGTGTTTTACAAGTAACAAGTCATTAATTATATAGAATTTAAAAACAATAATTTATTTTGAACACCAGTTAACAGGTTAACAGTGTTTCTGCATATCTGAGCTTGGCTTGGTGGGACTCTTCACGTGTCTGAGGTCATCTGGGAGTTTGCCAGGTGACTTTGCTGAATCCTTTATCACACACTTGGGCTCTCAGACAGGACATCTGTGCGAGGTTGGCAGTCCTGTACATGTCTCATATTCTAAGAAATTAGGCCAGTCATGTTTATGTTTTTTTTTTTTTTTTTTTTTTTTTTTTTTTTTTTTTACCAGGGAACAAACTCAGAACTTTTTGCTTGTGAGGCAGGTGGTGGCACCACTGAGCTAAATCCCTGGCCCTGCCAGTCATGATTTTAATGGTAAAAATAAAGGAAGGGGAAAAAGCAGGACGGGTCACAAAATCTCCAGAAGTTTAGGCTTAACAGGAGCACATCATCTCCTCTGTCACATTATACTGTTGAAAGTAACCTAAAGAGCAGATCCACATTTAAGAAGTGAGAAATAATTTTGACTGGAAGAGTGGCAAAATCACATTTCCAAAAAAGTGGATACAGAGCATGAGAGAGAAGTAGGGCCATTTCTGAAATTTACCCCAGCTAATAAAATAACAAAATCAAAATCAGTGTCTGCTTATCAAATATATGCAAATCAAGCATTATGTCCAGTTTTTATTATTTACACAGAAATAATAATGTTTTCCTTGGATTTGAAAAATTCCATGGGTTAGATATTTTCACAGTGGAAGAATTCCTGAGAATAGATGGTGCATATGAATCATACTGTGATAGTGGTGGGATTGGATTTGGTAGACTTTCAACTATGAGGAATATAAATAACTGAAGCTCCAAAATGCTGTACTCTGAAAGCCATTCCTGTATGTTCACCAAAGCTAGGTTTCCCCACCAATGGCTGAGCAAGTCAGAGATACCATGGCAGACTGTTTTGGCGTGTGAGCCTCTTTTTTTACTTTATGAAAAATAACATATAGTTTCTTAACAAAATAGTAAGAGAATAACAATAGTTAATACACCAAGTATGGTTGTTTTCAAGTTAGAGTCTAAGATATAAATAAAAATGATTATTACAAAGACAAAAAAGATAACATAAAACCTGCTTTTTCAATGAATTAAGATAAACTAGTTGTATAAATGAAACAAATTAGCATATATATTACTGGAATATATGATTTGGAGAACTATTGGAACTTTTCCCTATTTCCTATTTATTTCTCCTCTATACTGTTCTTTGTGTGTGTGTGTATATATATAATACAGTATGTAAATAGTATATTATAGTATAATATAATATGTTGTATGTATTATACATTGTGTTTCTTATATATAAGAGAAACATATGATATTTGAACTTGTGTGTTTGATTTATTTCATTTAACATTGTGTTCTCGAGCTGCACACTGTTTACCCACGAATGCCTTGTTATTTTTCTTTATGGCAGTATAGTACTCCATTGTGTATACATACTGCGTTCTCCTTCACTCATTCTTTTCCCAAGATTTAGCTATCATAAATTGTGCTGCTATAAGAATAGGCATGTAGACCTCCTTTGAGGCTGATTTTGTCTACGAACTCCTGAAACTCTTGCCCAAGTTTCCTTAGACTACACAGCAGCCTAGAAAGTTTCTAACCAACTTTCCTTTCCTCTCCCTTTCAGAGTGAGATGTGCATAATGGTCTGATGACTCCCAGCCTCTCCTAGTGCTTGTCCCCTGCCACCTGCCACTTGTTTTTACAATATTCTGTAATAAATTCCTCACACACTTAACCCTGTCTTGACATGCCAAACAAACTTCTCAGAGAACCACACTAATGTACATAGTTAAGCATAAATTAAGAAAATTATAGGAAGGATTTTCAAGTTGTCTTTATAGATCTGCAAAGAAATAAATGTAGACATACTTATCTCTGTGTCAATCTATGTCTACCTATCTATATCTGGGATGGTAGAATGTGCTAAATGTAAATGCATGTGTATTTGGTGCTCAGTTAGAGATAATCTGTACACAGAGTTACCAGAACCTAAAAGGTCTTAAGTTGGTCCTTTTGGGTGCTTTGGGAGAAAGAAAATGAGGGCCAACCCTTCCTGAACTTCTACTGTGTTTTTAATTCACTTCCACATGTGAAATATCCAGAAATTAGTACATGCTTATACTTTTCTCATAATGATTTACCAACTATTTTAGAATAGTCAGACTCTTCTTTTTCTGTGATTTGTACATTGGGTACTTTTGATACTGTTATTGTCTTTCTGCTGACGATTACTCATGAACTGATGTGACAGCTGAGTAATTCACCAAACTGCTGGCAGGCCTTAACAGTCCAATAAAGCAACATTGCCTAATTGGTCCTGCTCGTAAAACCCTTAGGAAGACTGTTGGAAAACTGGCTGTGATTGATTGTCATGAGAGAGAATGTTCAACCTGTTGAATAGTGGCTCAGGCTGTTTACTGTAATAAATGTACAGATCTGTATAAAATAGAATATGTTCATAAGCATACATATTCATATATATTCACAGAATACACACACACACACACACACACACACACACATATATATTCCTATGTCAAATTCTGAATATTTCAACAAGTGTCTTTACAGAATCATTGTCTACATAATCATTGTCCTTCTTAACCATTACTCATTTTATTGCAGGAAGAGTGTGGAGTTCTTGTCTAGGTAAATTGTGGAAAAGAAATTTCTGAGGATCCATTAACTTTTTTTTTTTTCTGGTAAAAGCTTTATAGAGATTTAACTTACATACCACAGAGTTTACCCACTTAAAATCTACAGTGGCTTTTAGCATATTCATGGAATTGTATAACTGTCTTAGTTACTTTTCTCATTGCTGAGACAAAATACTCTACATCCAAAGTTAAAGGAGGAAAGATTTATTTAATTCACAACTTGTGGAGTTTTCAGTCCATAAACGGCTGGCTCCAAGGCAGAAAGGCAACAGTTTATGGTGGCAGAAGACAGGAAAAGCAACAAAGAGAAGACAAGCCTCTTTCTGTCCCTTACATTCTATCCAGGATACCAGGATTAGGGCAGTGCCAAGCCAATCAGTGGACTGATTTTGTAATCATACACCCATAACCCTAGGTTCACACACTCTAGATTCAGCCATCTATGACCACATGAGGCCTTTGGGGGGAACTTCTAGATCCCAACTATAACAATAGCCATCACCACAATCAATTTTAGAATATTTCAGCGGGTCAAAGAAAACTACCACACCCATTAGCTCTCATCCCTCCTCCCCCATTTCTCTGTCCCTGTATGTCTAGGCAATCACTAATGTACTGTGAATCTGTCCATTCTGGACATTTCATAAAAATGGAATTCTGCATATTTCTTCTTTTGTGGTTGTGTTTCCTTTGCTTAGCATAATATTTTAATGGTTTATCTTGCTGCAGTACCTAACGTTTAGGTGTACTTCATTGTTTTTATTGCTGAATGATATTTCATAGTATGGATATCACGTATTACTTATCCATTCATTCATTTGGGTTTTTTAGGTTATTTCTACTTTTGGGCTATTATAAATAATGTTGCATGAGAACACTCATGTGCTCTTCAGTTGAAGAGATATAGCTTTTCACTTTTCTTGGGGCTATAATGTAAGTGGAGTATACTATAAGCTGGATCATGTTAATTCTATGTTTATCTCTTACAAGAATAGAAAGTCTATTTTCTAATGTGACTATGTCATTTTACATTCCTAATATATGTGTGTAAATATCCAAATTTCTCCACATTTTTACCAAATTTTATTCATGTTTTCATTGTAGTGGCATGGCATTGTGGATTTGATTTGCATTCCTCTGGTGGGTAATGTCTTACATTGTTTGTATTTCTGTAACAGAATGACAGACACTGTTAATTATAAATAAAAGAAATTTACATCTCAAAGATCTGAAGGTTTGGAAGCCCACAGTTAAGGCCCAGGTAGCTTTGGCATTTGGTGAGGGCTTGTACTCTGTTTCTGAGATGTTGAGGATGCCTTATTACTGTGCTCCCTTTTCTCTTTTTTAAGGCTGCTAGTCTCATGTGAGGACATGACCACCATACTCAATTCACCTCTTAAAGCTTCATCTCTTTTTTATAATTCATTAAATTTATTGGAATGTTTTAGGTACACGTGATCCTATTCATCATTGGGAATTTGTACCTTTACATGGACTATTTTGATGCTTCTTTTTTCCCCTTTCCCCTTTCCGCCCTTCATCCACTCCACCCCTGACTATTTACAAAAGCTTTGTTTCTGCTTTTTCCTTCTTTTTTCATATTTTTTCTTTCCCTTCTTTCTTTTCCCTTAAACTGCCCCCCCAACACACACACACACACACACACACACACACACACACACACACACACTTTCTCTTCCTCTTCCCCTTTGGACTTTTTCTTCCTATGTCACATTATTTATTATACATTTTGGTCCTCATTTACAATTTCAGTTTCTCACACCAGAGAAACTATTCAGTATTTACACATGTGTCCTATTTATTTCACATAAGAGTATGGCCTCAGTATGCATCCATTTAGCTATAAATGCCTCTAGTATGTCTTTTTTTTTAATGAGTGAATAGTACTCAATTTTATTAAAAAAAACACACACACACACACACACACATCTTCTTTATCCACTCACCAGTTGATGGTCATTTGGGCTGTTTCAAAGGTTTAACTATTACAAACTGTGGAAACTGTGTCACAATAAAAGTGTGTGTGTGAGTGTGTGTGTGTGTGTGTGTGTGTGTATGCGTGTATCTCTGTGGTATAGTTCTTTTAATTCTTTGGGGAAGATACCCATCAAGGGTATAGCTGGGTCAAATGGTACCTCTCATCCTAATTTTTTGAAGTATCTCCACACTGATTTTCACAGTACTTGTACCAGTCTACACTGCCATCAGCAGTGAAAAAATGGTTCCTTTTCCCCCAAAGCCCCACCAACATTTGTCATTGGTTGATTTTTTCTTTTTTTGAGACAGGGTCTCCCTATGTATTTGAGACTGACCTGGAACTCACTATATAGTCTAGGCTGGTCTTGAACTCAGTGATCTTCCTGCCTCAGCCTCCCGAGTGCTGGGATTACAGGTGTGTGCCACTATGCCCGGACCTTGATTAATTTCTTAATAGCAGCCATTCTTTCTGGAGTGAGGTGGAATCTCAGTGTTGCTTTTTTCATTTGCATCTCTTGAATGATCAGTGATGTTGAACATTTTTCTCACAATGTACTAACCTAAATCAAAATGGATCAAAGATCTAAGTATTAAAACAGGGACATTCAGCCTGGTAGAAAACAGGTTAGGCAGAACTCTGGAAGACATTGGTGTAGGAAAAGACTTTATGAACAAAACCTCAGCTGCATGTGAACTAGCACAAAGAATCAACCATTAGAATCGCATCTTATTAAAAACCTTCTGCACAGCAAGAGAAACTACCAACAGAGTAAGGAGACAACCCACAATGTGGGAAAATTTTTTTTACCAGATGCTCCTCAGATAAAGGTCTACTAATGAGACTACATAAAGAACTTAAAATGTCAAGCTGGGGATTTAGCTTAGTGGTTCCGCTGCCTGACTCACAAGTGCAAGGATCCCCAGTACCAAAAAAAAAAAAAAAAAAAAAAAGTTAGACTTCCCAAATTTAAAGACCCAATCTAGAGATGACCATCTAAAGTGAACAGACATGGGCTGGGGATTTGGCTCAGTGGTTCTGCTGCCTACCGCACAAGCACAAGGTCCTGAGTTCGATCCCTGGTACCAAAAAAAACAAAACAAAACAAACAAATAAACAAAGTGAACAGACATTTCTTAGATGAAGAAATAAAAACAGCTTTACCTCTTAATACTAGGGTACTGGAGATTAAATTTCATTATAAAATTTGGAGGGAAAAATCACGGCTTTTTGGCTAAGATCAAGTGTATAATTAGAAATGATTATGGTATTTTCTTACGTCTGTAAAAAGAAAAGTTATACAGCACAGTTTGAGCAGGATTTTTATGAGAGGAGAAGGAAATCTGGGTGTCCTTCCTTTTTTTTCAGACTTACTCTCTACTTAATAGCATTCACTTATTTACATGGAACACACAGTCACTTCCATCTCTCTAGTCACCTCTGGCCCACAGCTTTTCATAGTCCTTGACTCCTGGATGGCAAATGGTGGCTCTGGTGTGAAGATCTTTAAGTAACACAGTCAGGCTCTATTATCCTATTCTTGTCAAAATATATCAATCTAGACAAGATATGACAAAGATAAGGCAAATACGAGTAGTGAACAAAATGTCCCAAAACAGTTATGACAAATATATGGAATAGAATTAGAAAAGAGTTGGCTACCAAATTAATTTCATCCCACCACAGGTTCTGGTTTTATGTAAACTGATTTCAGCAGTTCACAAAGCCACTCTTACCTTGACAAACAGCCAGTAGGCCTGGCTTGGCCAAATTTTGAATGAGTGCTTTCAAAAGCCCTCTCCAGGTGCATGGAACTTTAACATTCAGTGATTTTTATCTGGAATTGTAAAAGAGAAATTACTTCCAGACAAATTTCCTTTTCAAAAAATCCTCCCTTCCCCCAACTCACAATCAATAAGTATGACTATTTTCAAGAACTAAAACTACTTACTTATTAGTTAAAGCCATTTGTGTTACAACTGAACACATTCATCTAAACCACATCCATTGCTAAATGTTTTATAAGACTGAGAATGAGGCATGGCTTTATACATACACCAAAATTAAGCAGTTTTAGAAATTCCCAACTTAGCATGAAGCTTGATAAGGAGTATTAGATTTCAACTTTAGCTGCACTTAGAATAATGTAGACTTTTATTCATTGTTCATTAATAAAGCATTTATGTTTCTAACTGAAATTTAGCACTATCTACATTAGGCAAAATAGCACAAGAAGAGTGAAAAGTTTATTTTCTTTGTATTTACTTTTTTCTTTAACAAACATTTTGACATGATGACATGCAAGATTGACCACAGATTTCTTTTGAATGAAAACATTTTAAGATTGCAATGATACCACCTTAGTAGCTCATGTAAAATGAGACATACTTTTTTATTGTTTTTCCCTCTTTCCACTGGAGGTAATAAAATGAAACATAGTTGAACATTTCATTTTTAAATTGGCTCGGTAGCCACAAACTAGAAAACAGATACATAGATATTGCTTTTGTTTGTAATGTACACCCTTTACCTACAGGCAGGAAGCTCTAATTGAAAATTAAAGAAGGAAAAGGGGCATTTATTTAGCTACTCTTATTATCAACCTAATAGATAGGTTTGTTTTCCCTTTGTAATGTACTTTCCAGTGTTTTATCTGATATTTCCAAGATTCCATTTGACATATGGAACTCAAAATAAGGTAATAACAAGCACAGTGCCTGGGAAGATTGTTTCTTTTCATATTTTGCTATTTCATGAGCACATTGAGAATATGGTTTTGATCAAGAAGCAGAGTTATAGTGTCTATATTTGTGTGGTAATTTGAGCCTACCAGCTTCTGAATAGCCCAATTGGAAAATTTGTATGCGTGCTGAGGTGTATTGGACTTCATAGAAATGAACTTGCTATATCTACTTTTTAAAAAACATAATGAAACTCTATTAGGGTTTGTCATCCTGAATTGCATTTTCCTGATTACAGTTATAGGTGAAAGCTCAGCTCTCATACAAAGTAAATATAATTTCTTCTAACCTGTAAGTGACCAAAAATATGACTTTTGTTGTTGTTGGTTAGAAAGTATTGGTGAGAACAATAAGTCTAGATTTTTCAATGTCAAGTTTTTCCTAATTTTAGGTAAGCCACAAAAATTTCTTTCATTAAAAAAATTCTGATAGATATAGTTGGGTTTTATGATCAGTGTATGAATTTACATGAAACTTTTGTTTAATGAATGCTTCTGGGCATAAAGAAAAAAAAGGCTTGTTTCAGAAATTTGGGTACTGGCATTAATCAGTAAATCAGGAATATTTGTTGAGTCAAGCACTTCAAATTTATAAGTTGAAGGGTGAGAGATAAAGAAGATTAAATGATTTATATATTAATACAACATTTCTCTTCTAAAGTAGTTTTGATATGTTATTTTATATATTTCATTAAGATTTCTGAGTTATACTGAGAGTTCTAAAATTTCTATTTCTATTTTTATAACAAAATTATTATAAAAGAGAAATACATAAATATATAAACATATATAAATCATTTAAAATAAGTATTATAACACTAAATTAGCCCTACATTCCTTGCCCCTTTAAATGTTTTACTCCTAATGTGTCTTGAGAATTCATTTATCACGCAGAGCCATTTGACTAAGGATAAAATTATTTAAACTGACAAATGCTGACTAGAGAATGGAGAAGTGAGTAGAGACATTTAGGTGAGTCAGATTATAAAACCACATACCTGTTTGTTCTGTGAATTGTCCCTCAATATTTTGCAAAACTGCCTTCAGAACGAGGTGGATGCCCCTGATGCAGTACCAGGCACCCCTGCCCCTTCCCCAGTAACAGCGGGGACGAGGCACCTATAGAGCCGCGGTGTGTGATCAGAAGTAAAGAGACAGATTTGCATTATTTAGTAAAATGGCATTTGCAGCATCGAAACCTTGACAGCTGAATGATTAAGCATCCCCTTTGGAATCCTTTCCTATCCTCTCACTGGCTCCCCATCACACTCCCCCAGTATCTCTCCGGGGAACAGATGGTAGTTCTGAAGATGTGTGTGTGTGTGTGAGGAAAGAACTCTCATGATATAAAAATAAGCACGATGGTTTCCTTCTGGATTTCTCTCACTAATACGTCCATTGCTTCTGTTGTGTCACATTTTTAAAAGGCACAGAAGAGTCAATAGAAAGAAAAGGGCAAAAGGTGTAGGGAAAGTGGGAAGGTTAGGTGAAAGGTAATAAGGAAAAAGAAAAAAATATATGAGAAAATGAAAAAATGGAAATAAAGTGTTTGTAAATGGGTAGGCTAGGAGGGGGTGAAGGGAGGGCAGGAACAAGGGGAGAAATGAGAACCAAGACCTGTCATGTAAAGGTACAGGATCCCAATGATGAATGTAACTGTACTGTATACCTAAAATGTACCAATAAACTCAATTAAAAAAAAACAGTCAAGGAAATTGTGAAGGTAGAAAAATTCAATGGGTAAATAATATTGTGAATATAGGCAATTTTATTTTCCAGATATAGGAGTTTTATTCTTTTAAATACAAGTTTAACTATTTAATTTTAAGTTATGATTTTTTTCTTTGATTTAAACACAGTTACATACATACATATTATTTGGAGCTGAAAGTTCATTTCAAAAATCTATTGATAAGTGATTTTTCTCAAAGAAAGTATGATGCTCAATGTATTTTCTCTGATTTTGATTACTCATTTGTAAGTCGAGTTTCCTCATATGCCATCAATTATTAGCTAATTATCAAGGACTATGAACCATGTCCTAATTTTCCTTCAAAGAGTAAAGATTAGATATTTTCATATAAACTTTATAAAGATTACAGAATTCTGATATGGAAGAGGGAAATTAAAATAAAACAAAACAAACTCTTGTGGAACTGTGAGAGGTTAGCTCTCTTTCTGCCATGTATTTATCTTGGGAGAAGAAATAGGAATTGCTGTTATCTTGGTACATGCAGGTGGTGCCCATAGGAGGATAGGTTCAAAGAGTGATTGCAGTTTCTGGGTTTTCAGGACTGCTGAATATTAAGGAGAATTCGAAACTAAGAATAGAGCAGAGGCCAAAGGCATCTAATTTGGGACTCATTACTGTAAATGATTACTTTTTAAATTGAATTTATTGGTACATTTACATATACCTTATGATCACATTCATCATTGGGAATTTGTACCTGTACATGATATATCTTGATTCTTATTTTTTCCCATTGTCCTGTCCTCCCTTCAATCCCTCCACCCCCTATATACGTAAGCTCTGACTCCATTTTTTCTTTCTTCAGTTCAACTTAATTCTTTTCCTGCTTTCCTTTCCCTCGTCCCCACTCTCTAGTTCTGTTTTCCCTTTGAACATTTTCTTTCTATTTCACACTATGTATTATGCATTTTTGTCCTTGTTTGCACCTTCAGTTTTTCAAACCAGAAAAATGATTCAGTATTTACACGTGTCCCACTGTAAATGATTACTTTGCTTTTTTTTTTATTGAGTTTATTGGTACAATCTAGATATACAATACAGTTACATTCATCATTGGGATTCTGTACCTTTACATAATAGGTCTTGATTCTCATTTTTCCCCCTTGTCCCTGCCCTCCCTTCACCCCCTCCTCCCCTCCCCATTTACAAACACTTTATTTCCATTTTTTCAGTTTCTCATATTTTTTGCCTCTCCCTTATTACCTTTGCCTCACCCTTCCCACTTTCCCTATACCTTTAGCCCTTTAATTCCAATTTCACATTATTAATTGTCTCATTAGGATCCTGTGTACTATTATAGTTTTTCACACCAAAGAAACTATTCGGTATTTCAGTTAAAGAAATCTCTGTACGAGCATTAAAAATAGGTAATCCTAAAATAAAACTAAAAAGGAAAGTAAAAGAGTAAAGGTAATGATGTAACATTAAAATAATCCTTAATTCTGGGGATGAAAATGGTCCCCGAACATATTTAAATTGCTTCTTCTCTTATAGTCTTATCTTATTCTTTTTTTTCATTATTTAGAGAATACTTTATTAGTTTCTGTAATCAAGCCCACATAGATATGACCTTACATATTCAATACAGTGCGTTACCCCTGTACACATGGAAAAATAAAAAATAAAAATAAAAATAAATTAACATTTCTAGACCAATATGGCTGTCTATTTCTGTACAATGCCAACTCAACACAGTAAATTGGGATGACTTTTTCCAAAATTGGTAGCACCATTGAAGTTTCCCAAAATTCAATTCACATATATGTTTGTGTGTGTGTGTGTGTGTGTGTGTATAAAGACTACCAGCAACAGCTTTTCCAGGTTCTGCAGTCATCTGAACAAAATTATAGACATTCAGCACATTCCATTAAAAAAAAAAAAA